CGTCTTCCACCCAATAACAAAATGCAGCATTTTGGAAGAAGAGTGTTTCTTTAGCTTTGGAAGGAAAAACAAGGCGCTGGGTTATGAAATTTCTTCGGGGAAATAATGAACAATGGGGGGGGGGGAGAAATTAAACCCCATATACCAAAATAGTTGGCTGCGTCTCCTTCACCCTAATAGGTTTGGATAATGCAGTGTGCAGGCAGGTGTTATGTCGTATGAATCACATTTATAGGAACATTTTCCAATTTCTTCGCCGCCCAAGGCAGGGAGCTGCCATTCATGCCTCTGCAGATGAATATTTCTGTGGCACAGGGTGGGCTGTGGCCCTTGCCCGCGCATCGCCTCCTGTCCTGAGCAAATCGTGCAAAAAAACCCCAAACCCAGAGAAAGGGGTGGGTTTGGGTCTGACCTGAACCGCAGCGACGCTTTGCTTTGCCCCGTGGGAGGGAAGAGTGGGACAGAAATAAATACATGCTGGGTCCAGTGCTGGCAAGCTAGAGGCCATTCACTGAATAATAATAATAATAATAATAATAATTATAATCATCTTGCCAGTTTGCAGCACCAGCAGCCTCACTCCGTATTTCAAAGGTTTTTGGGAAAGCAGGGACGATTGCATGGTTTATCAGGTGGCGCCTCTCCTTTCCAATGGCCTCGATAAAAATAACGGGGAAACATCGGCTTCATTTCCATCCATCCATCCGGAGGAATGGGAGGTGGCTCAGAGTATCCCGTTTGCCGCTGGAGACTTGGCCATGCCTCCAGCTGCCTGCAGCAAGGACGGTCCCTTTGCCCCCTGAGCATCACTTATTTTAAAGGAGCACCAAAACTGACCCAAAAGGTCACGAAACTCCTGGACCCAAACTTCTGGAAGGATTTCAAAAAATCGTGGAGCTGCCTATGGGTAAGGGAGGTGGGAGGTGCCGGCCGTGGCCCCCGTCCTCCCGTCCCCCCGGCACCACCGGAGCATGCCTGCGGGCCCGAACACGAGTTACGGTGGCATAAATCTCCTTTGCAAATTTATTGCCATAATTTATCAGCTCATGTTGCTGAATGGCCAAGCAGTTAATTTTAAAATGAAGTGGTGCTATTTTCATTAATGCCCTTGTGCTAACTACCTATCAAAACACGCGGAGGCAATTAATACTGTGTTGCTGAAGTACTGAACCAATAAATATTTCCAGTCTTGGCTTGTTTTTGGCAGATAAAAGACATTGGATGAACCCACTGCCTCGGTAATGCTCCCCGAGTCCCTTTCTTGTTGCATCATCAAGAACATTTACATTTAAGGAAGAGATTAAGTAGCCAGATCCGCCAGTAACAGGAATTTAAAAGGCTGTTGTTTCATGACATGTGAGTAAGCCCTTCAGGATATCTGTGCAATAACAATAAGCTTGCGAGAAGATTGAAAATTTCTGAAGATTATATATCAGCAATACAAAAGCAATTTGGCACAGTCCGCATTTGGGGAAAGAAAGGTGAAAATGCCCAATGTGTCGAAATTCGGTATAAATACTTTGTCACCACCGCACTCACTGCAACTTCATCACCCACCACGCTACGGAGCATCCTTTTGAGGGAAAAAAGGGCTTGCTTGCAGACTTTGTTTTTTATGGTCAGAACCTGGTTTTCAGCCTGTATTTCTTCCACTGATGAAAAATCAAATAGTGATAAATAAAACCTCACTAAAAAAGGGAGAGCCAGGGCAGCAGGCTTCTCACCCGTGCACAGCACCGCATACCTTTCGACAGGCTTCGTGCCGTACAAATCTCCCTGTAAGCACGTCCCATCGTTTCTCCCTCCAAGGCAGAGCAGCAAAGCGCCCGCGTTTCTCTGCCTGAACACCACCCTGTACTTCCACCCAAAGTTTTTAATTTTCTGTTAGCGGGCTACTGTGTATTCTTCTTGCGTCCTGAGGCAAGCTGACACATTTTGATAGCAATAAATAATAAATGTGATTTATTTCCTCAGATGCTGATGGAGGAAGAAGGAGAAAGCGAGAAAGAGTGGAAGAAAAGGAGTGAGAAAGCAGGAGATGGTGCCCAAGCCCCAGCCACGGCTCCGCGGGTGCCTGCTCCCAGCACAGCTTTCACCTTGTGTTCGGGCAGGGTCCGGCCACCCTCCTGGAGCCCCTCCTGGTTCCTCCACAGCGCTGAAACCCAGGGCAGCCTCACCCAACAGCCTCAATAATAAAGGGTATGAATAAATAATAGTGAATGATTTTTGTGGGGCCCCCAACGGATGCGAGCACAGGGGCCAAGTGCGAGAAAGGGGCAGCGTTAAGGAGCAGTTGGCGAGCGCAGCGTCGGCCACGCCAGCCACAGATGGGCCAATGGGGAGAAACCTTCCCTGTGTAGTGTAACTGAACTTTTTTTTTTTAAAGCATATTTTAATTTTTCTGTGTGTATTCGTGCAGCGATGTGGGTGGGTGGGTCCCTGTCCCGCCCTCCCATCCCTGCACCCCCTGTGCTCAGCACTGCTGCTCGGAGGAAGCATCCGGCTCCCGCTGCCCCGCAGGGCACGTTGGCCCACACCTGGCTCATTTCCAAGCCAAAGGGGCACCACCACTATTTGGGCTTGTTTTTGCAGCCTTGAGATGAACTTTCTGCCCAAAAGTGAGTGAGCGCACAGGCTCAGCACCACCGCCCCTCCCCCCCCCCCTCTCCCCCCCCCCCCTCCAGCCCCCGCAAGCCCCTCCCCACCGCTTCCCGCCCAGTCACTCGACTTATGGGGTTACTGGCGGATGGTTTTCCTCGGTGGGGCACGGGGGGGCGCAGCGAGGGGGGCGCGGGGGCCCCCGAG